CTAGTTTCAGGAAAGCTAGGACTCTAACAGAGAAACTCTGTCTTGAAAAAAACAAAACAAAACAAAAAGGATAATAAAAGCTAGGGACTTGGAGAGAAAACTCAGTGGTTAAGAGCACTGGCCACTCTACCAGACATCCTGAATTCAATTCCCAGCAGCCACATGGTGGCTCACAACCATTCATAATGGAATCTGATGCCCTCTTCTGGCCTGCAGGTGTATGTGCAGAAAGAATCCTCATATACATAAGATAAATAAATCTTAAAAAAAAAAACCTAATTAAAGACACAGAAGAGGAAGAGGATGATGGGAGGAACACAGAAGTCTTAGAGGCTCTGCTACATGGCCAAGGATGTAGATCACCAGGCTAAGTGCTCACTTACAGCGAACAAAGCCCCAGGATCAATCCCCAGCATCAGATAGACGGGGTGACAGTGCACGCCTGGTGATCCCAACTCGGGAGAGATGGAGGCAGGAGGCTCAGAAGGTCAATGTTAACCTCAGATCCCTACATATACAACATATACAGCCCCAGTTTGCCTTGGGCTACAGGAAACAATAGGAGGAGCCTTGGGAAGTTTCAGTTCATTCACGCATGCAATCATTATCCATTAAGTACACATTATGTGGCTGGCACTGTTCTAGGCCCTGGGGGAGCATGCATGTTATGAACAAATTAGACAAAACTCCTGGCTTCATAAAGTTACACCCTGTGGAGGAGTCCATAAAACATGGAGTCAGACAAGGTAAGGGAGGCTGAGCTGCTTGATACAAGATAATCTTCAAGGCTTTTCTGATGGCAACAGATCTCAGACCTGAAGGAAGTGAAGTCATGTAGATGCCTAGAGAGAAGCCTGTCAGACCGGGGGAGGGGGGGCACTGTAATTAGAAGAAGAACAGAGGGGTGTAAATGTGTGAGTAGGGAGAGTAGGGCTGGGGACAGGCGTGTAGGGTCTCCCCTCATAATTTTAGCTAAAGACAAGATCTTTGGACACTGGGGAGGGGAGTGAAACTAAAAATGTCCACATCACACATTCTCAGAACTTGGGCATCTGGATACCCAAGACGTGCAAGTGGCTAGATCTGCTAGCGTCGGCATCCCCAGCTGTCAGAACCACCCCGTGTGGGACGCAGGATGGTAAACACCGACTGCCAGAGCCAATGGCTCAGAGTTGAGCAGGATCAGATGAGGAGCTTGGAACCGAGAAGCCAGCCCCTCAGAGTCAGCTTGGGGCTCTGCACACAGGAGAGCCTCGAAGCTTTCGAAAATCGAAACAGGGCCACCTGCCCCCACCTCATTTCCTTACCTGAGCAACCGGGAGGCCTGCCGAGGAGTGGGGTCTTCGGCAGGGTTACTACTGAATGGAAAAGCCCGCTAAAGACTCAGTAGTGTTGGCACCAACCCAAGGATGGTGTTTTTTGGGACAGGGGTTGGACATTCAGGGTGACATTAGAAGTGCCTTTGGGGCAGGTTACGAGGGTGAAATGCGAAAATGGATGATGAAGAGAATTGAATCCTCCATCCTGACTCAACCCGTCAGCTGCGGCCAGCACCAGTGCTAGGGACAGCTCCCCGCGCGCCTGCTCCTTCTCGGACTGGGCGGGGCGACCCAATCCCGCGCCCCGAGAGCCCCCCAACATGCGATCTCCATGACCCCCACCTCTGCCCCATTGCAGCGGGTTCTCCGGGTCAGGATGTCCCAGTTGCCGCCAAAGCGCGGGGTGGGAGGGGGGAGGGGAGGGGAGGGAAAGGATTCCTTTGTCTCCTTCGGCTTCTTCCCTTCAACCCGGCTCTACCTCGAGCCCGCGGCGCGCACCGAAAATGGAGACCCAAAGAGGACCCCACGCGGGTTTCTGCGCCCCAAACCAGGCCAGATCCTCTCCATACTCACTGCAGTGGGCGAAGACCGGCAGGACCTGCCCCATGGCCCCCCTCGGGCCTGCATCGGGACCCCCGCCCGCTCCGGCCGCGCCGCCCTGGGCCTGGGGCCACGGGCGCTCATCTCCGCCGCGTCCACGACGCCGCCGCCATCCTCCTCGGCTGCTCCAGCAGCCGCCGCCGCCACCACCACCACCGCCGCCGCCGCCCTCAGCTAAGGCGCGGGAGGGCGGGGCCGTGGAAAAGCAGGCACTGCAGCGCGAGGTTCGGGGGCGGGATCAGGAGCTGAGAGGCGGGGCTTGAGGGCATAGAGGGCGGAGCCACTGTTCTAAAGGGAGGGGTCTCGATCTCGAGGGCGCGACTTTTAGAGGAGTGGGGCGGGGCTTGAGTGGATTGAGGCTTCGGAGTGAATGTCCAGAAGCACATGGGTTGGGGGCAGATCTAGGGATGATGGCATTGAGAGATGATGGAAGATGATGTTCTGGGGGTAGAATTCGAGCCAAGACTTGCAGATGGCGTGGAAAAGGAGGGTGGAAAAAAGGTACTCAAACTTAAAACTTTGTTTTACGCTTATTTGTGTGTGGGGATGAGGGTGTGTGTGCCATGAGCATGTATGCGGTCAGTCTCCTCCACTCACACGTAAGTTCCCAGGAAGCTTATTCTCACAGTCTTCAAAGTAGGAGCCCGGGGAAGTTTCAGTTCATCCTCTCGACAACCATCTATGGGCACGTGTCGTGAGCCAGGCGCTATCCTAGGCCTCAGAGGGATATGCTGTAAACAAATTAGACAAAACTATTCTACTCTGACTCTATCACTTAGTCAACCCCTCTTCTGGGCAGCTTTGGCCAGCACCAGGTCCTGGGGTTCCTTCCTTTTGCCATGAAATTTAAGTTCAATTTCAGGAATTGAACTTAATAGATGGGGTCTGAGCTAGAAATATGGAGAGAATAGAAAGGACCCATGAGAGAAAGATGTTATGTTGGTAAACTGATCACAAGTGGGAGTCAGGACAACTTTGTTTTATTTTCTTTGTTAAGTTTTTTCCTTTTTAACTTTATTTCATGCGCATTGGTATAACAATGTCAGAACTGGAGTTACAGACAGCTGCCATGTGGATGCTGGGAATTGAACCCAGGTCCTCTGGAGGAACAGTCAGTGCTCTTAACCACTGAGCCATCTCACCAGCCCTATTTTTTAAAGTTTTTAAAGACAGGGATTCTTTGTGTAGCCCTGACTGTCCTGGAACTCACTCTGTGAACCAGGCTGGCCTTGAACTCATAGAGATCCACCTGCCTCTTCCTCCCAAGTGCTGGGATTATAGACATGTGCCTCCACCTTCCAGTATTTTTTAAAAGGAATTATTACGACAGGTTTTTTTGTTTGTTTGTTTGATTTTTTTTTTTTTGCGTTTTGCGTTTGTTGTTTTTTTGGGACAAGGCCTTATGCAGCCTACAATGGCCTTGGACTCCTGATCCTCCAAGTGCTGGGATTACAAGCCTATAATATCACCTCTTGGCTTGGAGGCCACCTTTGACTAGCCAGTACCCTGAAGGTAAAAGCAGGAATAGTCAAGAGTTCAAGGCAAGAGTTCAAGGCCAGCCTCAGCTACTGTACGGAGTTTGAGTCCAGCCTGGGCTACATGAGTACTGTTAGTATTCAGGCATCTGTACTGGCCTGCCCTTGGGGTCCTGACAGGACACGTCCTTAACTGCAGCCTTTAAGAGCACATTTGCTACTTTCCCTTATAAAAGGTGGACCTTGCCCACCTCCCATCACTTTCTCTCTTTTTTTCTCTCTCTTCTGCCACTGTTGTCCCCAGGGACCGGTCTCTGCCACCATACCTCATTCTCTCCCCCTTCTCTCTCCTCTTCAAATAAACCTTCCATGTGAGCCTTGTTGCATGGCGCGACTTCTCTTCACGGCGTTTTTAAATTACAAGAACTTATCTCAAGAACAAGATAAAATGGTTTGGGAGTTGGCACGTCGGCCACTAAAGTGGTTGGCGCTTATGCTTAGGCAATCTACGGTCTGAATGGGATCTTTATGTTGAGGGCAAGGGTTCTAGAGTTCACTGCTCGGCCACACACCTTCCTTTTTTCTGTCATTCAGCTTCCTGTTTTCTAAATTGGTCACATAAAAGCCAGGCATAGGGGTCAAGAGTTAGCTGGGTAGTTAAGAGCCCAAGTTCAGGGTTGGCGAGATGGCTCAGGGATTAATAGCACTGGCTATTCTTCCAGAGGTCCTGAGTTCAATTCCCAGCACCACGTGGTGACTCATAACCATCTATATGAGATCTGATGCCCTCTTCTGGTGTGCAGACATACATGCAGACAGAACTCTAAATACATAATAAATAAATCTTTTTTTAAAAAAAAAAATCCAAGTTCAATTCCCAGCATCCACATGGCAGCTCACAACAAATCAAGAACTCAAGTCCTGGAGGATCTGACGCCCTTTTCTGACCTCCAAGCATACGGTATGGTACATACATGTACGCAAGACATCCATACACGTAAACGTAAAATAAATGAATCCAAAAATAAATTACAAGAAAAAAAAGCCACGAGTGGTGGGAGGACAGGCCTTTTATCTGAGCCTTCAAAAGGCAGAGGCAGGCAGGCTCTCCACGTTTAAGAGCCTCATTTATGAAGCGATTTTCCAAGCCAGCTGTGGCTACATAGTAAGACCCTGCCTCAAAACCTGATAATAATAATAATAAGTCGTGTAAAATAGTGTATGCGGCCTGTGATAGGGCTCAGGAGTAAAGTGATTGCTGCCAAGCCTGAATGACTTGAGTTTGATCCCCAGGATCAACAAGGTGGAACCGACTCTCACAAGTTGCCTCTGACCTCCACACACATTAAATGAGTGTGATAAGTTTTCAAATAACGTGTTACACCTGGAAGCAGAATGCAAATAATTTGCTTTTATCTTCCCATTCCCAACCCAGCACTTGACCTAGGCACTAAGCCCGTGTTTTCTGAAAGTGTGAGAAAGAAGAAACACATGAATGCACCTCTTAGTGAGCCGACTTCAGGACAGGTCAAGGGATAGGAAAGAGATTTACTTGGTTTAAAGAAGAGAGATTAGGGGAGGCGGGGCGCGCGGGGGAGAGGGGGACCGGACACTGAACAAAGGCGGTGAGGAGATGGAACCTTCCTGACCCCGCGGCAGGAGAATGGCGGCCTTTGTCCGCCTGCTGGAGCGTCTCGGCTGGTTCGCTCAAGCTCAAGAGGCACCAGAGCAGGAGGCAGAGATGGACCATAAGGTCCCTGGCGAGCCTGGGGGTCTCCTGGATGCGCCCCGATGCTCGCAGAGGCTACACGGGGGTGCGGCGGCTGCACCCGGCCTGCGCTTCGGGGCCAGTGCGGTGCAGGGCTGGCGCGCGCGCATGGAGGACGCGCACTGCGCTTGGCTGGCTTTGCCCGGGCTGCCGTCGGGTTGGGCTTTTTTCGCAGTCCTGGATGGCCACGGTGGAGCGCGGGCTGCGCGCTTCGGAGCGCGCCACCTCCCAGGTCACGTGCTGGGGGAGCTGGGTCCCGCGCCCCGGGAGCCGGAGGACGTGCGCCAGGCTCTGCGTAGCGCCTTCCTCCGTGCGGATGCGCATCTGCGCGCGCTCTGGCCCCTCAGCGACCCCGGCGGATCGACGGCAGTGGTGTTGCTCGTGTCCCCGCGCTTTCTCTACCTGGCGCATTGCGGAGACTCGCGCGCTCTGCTGAGCCGATCGGGCTCCATGGCTTTTTGTACCGAGGACCACCGTCCTCACCGGCCTCGGGAACGCGAGCGTATCCATGACGCTGGTGGCACCGTTCGTCGCCGGCGCGTTGAGGGCTCCCTGGCCGTGTCCCGAGCCCTAGGCGACTTCGCCTACAAACAGGCACCGGGGAGGCCTCCTGAGCTGCAACTTGTGTCCGCTGAGCCCGAGGTGACTGCGCTGGCACGCCAGCCCGAGGACGAGTTCGTGCTCCTGGCCTCCGATGGCGTGTGGGACGCCCTGTCTGGTGCGGACCTGGTGGGGCTGGTGGCGTCGCGCCTCCGTCTGGGCTTGGCCCCTGAGCAACTCTGTGCGCAGCTGTTGGACACGTGTCTGTGCAAGGTCCTGGGGCCACTGCATGTGGGGAGGAGGGGCTTCTACGATAAAGGGTGGGGCCGAGCTGGAGGGTATATTAAGTGGTTTGGGATCCAGAGCAAGGATGCTTCGAACCCCCTATGGAGCATAATACACAGACACAGCTAAATGGGAGGAATTTAAGAGAAGGGGCGTGGCCTCTAAGAATAGAGTCCAAGCTGGGATTTCAGGCCAGTCCTGAGATGTGTCCGAAATAGGAAGATCCCCTTAAATAGGAAGAATTTAAAAGACTTTGGACTGGCTTTTTAAATTTAATTTATTTAATTGCATTACATTTTACTGTATCCTGTGTGCGTGTTCATACAACATCACATGTGTGTAGGTCAAAGAACATCTTATATTAGTCAGTTCTCTCCTTCCATCATATTGGGTCCTGGGGATCAAACTCAGGTTGTCACTCTTGGTGGCAAGTGTTTTTGCCCACTGAGCCATCTTGCTGGTTCGTAGCTGGTTTCTTTAATAAAGCAAAGTGGTGGCTACGACCTGTAATGGGAATGGTCCAAGAGATGGGTCCGAATGGAAGAGAGAGCTTGGATGAAATAGTAAGATTGCTAGGGGGACTCCCAACAGCAGGATTTCTGGGAAAGTCATGCTCTCAAAGGCATGGAACCCTGGGAAGGTTTTTTACTCTCCCACCAGGCTTTTCTTTCTTCACCTTATCCAGGGAAGTTTGGATAACATGACTTGCATGGTGGTCTGCTTCCCGGGGGCCCCCAGGCCTTGTGAGGAGGCAATCAGAAGGGAGATGGCTTTGGACGCTGCTCTGAGCCACAAAGTTGCCGGTGAGCAGTCTTCAAATAGCCAGTGGGAGGGGAGGTTGGCAAGTATGGGCTCTCTACTCACCTCCTCCTCAGAGCTGTATTCCTCCGCTCAGGAACCCCCATGCCTAAACACAGTTTTCAGGACCCTGGCGTCAGAGGACATCCCAGGCTTGCCTCCTGGAGGAGGACTCCATAGCAAGTGAGTTGGAGTGAGGTGGGATGAGGCAGGGTGACAGGACCAGATCTCAGATCTCCTCTTCAGGGCTTCCCTATGCTCTCTAGGGCCACTGTCATTGCCGAAGCTTACTCCAAACTCCGTCAGACCTCAGAGGAATGTCAAGAGGTAAGGCTCTGTCTCTTTGGGTTCATCCTCAACCTGCGCTACAACCCTGCCTGCCGGCCACACCCCTGCCTACCGGCCACACCCCTGCCTACCGGCCACACCCCTGCCACTCTGGCAAGGTCATCGCCACCAAGCTCTGGGCTCTGACCCTAGTCTAGACCTGTGCTGGTGTTTTAATACTTTTTATAAGCTTTACCCTTTTTATTTATGTGTGTTGGGGGGTGTATATATGTGGGCGTGCGTGCCATGTTGCAGTTATGGAGACTTAAGAACTACCCACTGGAGTCCGTACTCTCCTACCATGTGGATCCCAGGAACTGAACTCAGATCATTAGGCGTGGAGACAGTTGTATTGCCTGATAAGTAGTCTCACAGCCCCTTTAAATTTTGGGGGGGGGTATTTTTAAATTTAAGACAGGCATGGTGTCGCAGGCCCTTAATCCCAGCACTTGGGAGGCAGAGGCAGGGGGATCTCTGTGAGTTTGAGGCTAGCCTGGTCTACAAGAGCTAGTTTCAGGACAACCAGGGCTACACAGTGAGACACATCTAAAAAAAAAAAAGATAAAAAAATAAATCCAAAAATAATCAATCAATAAATAAACTAAAGGGTCATATGGTGTATATGGATCGGTGGTGGAATTCTTCCCTAGAATGTTCAAGGCCTTTGGTTCAATCCTCAGTGCTTCAAAAACAACAAATAAGGGCAGATGAGATGCTCAGTGGGTCACAGTACCTACTGCCCTTCCAGAGGACCCATGGACCACAGCTGCAGCTCCCGCACTCCCAAGTGAGGAACTTAGGGAAGTGAGTTGAAGTCACCCTAGAAGACATGTGACCCTGTTTTAAAAAAAAAAATGAAAGAAAGAAAAAGAAGGGGGAGGGTTCTGCCGCTCTCATTGGCCTCTGCACACACGAAATGTACAAATGCAAAACACCCATATACTTAAAATTATATTTATTTATTATTTATTTTGGTTTTTTTCGAGACAGGGTTTCTCTGTAGCTTTAGAGTCTGTCCTGGAACTAGCTCTTGTAGACCAGGCTGGCCTCAAACTCACAGAGATCCTCCTGCCTCTACCTCCTGAGTGCTGAGATTAAAGGCATGCGCCATCACCACCTGGCAAAATTCAAATTGTTTTTCATTTAAAAAAAAAAAAACAAAATGGGGTGAAGGAGGCTTCCAAAAGGCTAAGTGGGGTTCACCGTCTCCCACATTTTGCTTTACAGAAGAGGTGAGATGGTGTGGAAACCACCAGCACCTATTCAACCCTTGACTTGAACTCAGGCCTGACAGCAGTCATCCTCTGGGGACCATCTGCATAGCTCAGGGGAAATCTGTGCTTCCCTGCATGAGAAGCAGAGGAAGGACGGCCAGCCATGGAGGAACCTAGAATCTTCATTTCCCCTCTCGTACTTTCCCCACACGAGTCTCATGAGGGGGGGAACTCCACCGTCACCAGAGGCGACAAAGAAAAAAAAGCAAGCCGAGTGTGGTTCCTTTTTCTTTTTCACCCTTAATATTTAAAGCCAAACAGATCTTTAGTGATTTGTGTGTAACAGTCTTTCTGTTTTTTTTTTTTTAAACCGGTTCTACAAGGAGGTGGTAAGAGATCTGAATATTAAATTTGAATCAATAAAGCAGTTCCAAATGCATTCCCTTTCCTTGTTGTTGTTGTTTTTTAATTATACTATTTATTTTGTGTTTATGTGTGTGTAGAAGCTCCTGCCATAGCATGTACATGGGGGTTAGAGGACACCTTTGAGGAGCTGGTTCTGGGGATTGAACTCAGGTCCTCAGGATTGGCAGCAAGCTCTGTTACCTGCTGAGCCATCTTGCTTTTTTCGTTTTCTTTTTTTACCGCCCTGCGTTTCCCTTTCAGGCATTTATTTATTTTTCTGTATAGGTGTGTTTTGCCTGCATTTATTGACATGTATTGTGTGTCTTGTGCCGGCAGAGGCCAGAAGAGGGCATCAGATCTCCTCTGACTGGATTCACACAACGTTGGGAACTGTACCAGGATGCTAGGAACCAAACCAAATTCCTCAGCAAGAGCAGTAAAGTTCTCTTCTTTCTCCAAGCCATCTCGCTAGCGACCCTTCAGTTTCTGTTTTGACCATGTTGCCCAGGAGAGCCTTCCTGCCTTGGCCTCTCAGGTGATGAGGTCACAGGAACACGCTGCTGCTTCTTCCAGTTCCACGTTTTCTTTTCTCCTTCTTTCTTTCTTTTTCTCTTTTCTTTTTCTTTTTGTTTTACAAGACAGGGTTTCTATATAGCTTTAGAGCCTGTCCTGGAACTCGCACTGTAGACCAGAGATCCACCTGTCTCTATACCTCCTAAGTGCTGGGATTAAAGGCAAGGTGTGCGCATGTGCCACCACCCTCTGGCTCAGCTCCACGTTTTCTTGTAAAAAGTGGCTTGTTGCCAGGCACGATGGCACCAGCTTGTGATTCCAGTACTTCCAGGATCGATGCAAAGATGACCAGGAGCTCAAGACCCTAGCCACACATGGAGTTTGAATTGCAAGAGACCCTATCTCAAAAAAAAAAGGGGGGGGAGGCTCACCGGTTAAGAGTGCTTGCTGCACAGTCATGAATGAGAACCTGAGTTCGAATTCACACAAGCAGACACCCTGTAAATGCCTGTAAATCCAGCTCCAAGAGATCTGACACCCTATTTGACCTTCAGAAGCAAGCAGGTGAATGCACCACCATACACTCCTGTATTTACACCCGATAAATTGGTCAATTAAATTAAAAATTAAAAAGTGCATGCCTTTAATCCCAGCACTCTGAAGGCAGAAGCAAGTGGATCTGTGAGTTCGAGGTCAGACTGGCCTACAGAGTGAGTTCCAGGACAGTCAGGGCTACATAGAGACACCCTGTCTCAGAAACAAAACAAAAAAGTGATTTGCTTAGTCCCTGGTCAGCAAATGTGCAGTGAGCAAGTGCTGTCTCATCAAACCCCGTGCATAGCTGGGAGCCAGCCCAGTGCACTGAGATCAGGAGGCCCAGTGTAGTCGATACCCTGTTTGGGGAGACAGCACACAAGGGGACTAAAAAGTAGAGTCATCAGGAAACAATACAGGGAATAAGAGGAGAAAATGACCAAGGAGTTCACTTGACATTATTTTTTTTCCCTCAAAATCTTGGGCTGGGTAGATGGCTCAGTAGATACCACCAAGACTGGCAACCCAAGTATGATAACCCGGAACCCACGTAGTGGAGGCCAGAGGACGACTTGTGGTCATTGATTCTCTCCTTCCACCATGTTGGTCCCAGGAATTAAACTCATATCCTTGGGTCAGCAACAAGTATGTTTACCTGTTGAGACATCTCAGTGGTTCTGATTTTATATTCTAAAGTTGCTGTAAGAAAAAGATATGAGCCCCGGGAGGTGGTGATGCAACCCTTTAATCCCAGCACTTGGGAGGCAGAGGCAGGTGAACCTCAGAGTCTACAGAGCGAGTTCCAGAACAGCAAGGCTGATTACACAGAAGCACCTTGCCTTGCAAAACAAAACAAATACTCAGTGGTTAAGAGCACTGGCTGCTCTTCCAGGGGACCCGGGTTCAATTGTGGCAGCTCAGAGCTGTCTGTAACTCCACGATCTGACACCCTCACACAGACATACATGCTGCAAAATGCCAAAGTACAGAACAGTAAATAAATTATTTTTAAAAAGGAAAACAATAAAAAAGATGCTTAGGGCTGAGCATGTATCTGAGTGGTGAGCAGAAGGCTTGTGCTGTGTCTCCCAGAAGTGCTGCATACACACACACACAAACGGACCAAGACTATGCCTACTATGCTTAAAGTATTTTCCACTGGAACTTTTTGTGTGCACCTGTCCATGTGTGCAGGTGGCCGTGTGCCAGTGTATGTGGTTAGAGGTCAATCACTTCAGGAACATTTCCCTTGATTGTTCTTAGTCTCTCCAAAGCCGGATGTCATTGATTCAGTTGGCCAATGAAGTACAGGGATCTTCCAAGTCCTGCTGACCCAGTGCTGAGGGGTTAGGAGATCTACTTTTACATGGGTACTGTGGACTCCAGACTAGTCCTTGGGATGGCAGAACAGGCACTTCACAGTCTGATCCGTCTCTCCAGCCCTGCTAATGAGACTTTCATAGAGAAAGTGTGCTAGCTCTTGCTACGGTGCAGGTGGCACAGAGCTTCGCCTTTCCCACTTCACAGATGGGCAAGCAGGAACTCACATGCAACTGGGTTCTCCTTCAGTTTTAACCCTTGTTCCAGGCTGGTCTCTAATTCACTGAGATCTGCTTTTGCCTCTGCCTCCCGAGAGCCAGAATCAAAGCTGTAAGACTGGCCTGTTTTTTTAATTTTGAAAAGATTTACTTGTATTATTTTTAATTATGCATGTGTGTAGAGGGGCGCACACGTGTGTTTGTCTGTGTGGGGTATGTGCACATGAATGCAGTACCCTGGAAGGGCAGAGGCCTAGGATACCCTAGAACTGGAATTACAGGCAGTTATGAGTCTTGTGAGTGCTGAGAATTGAACTTGGGTCCTTTGGAAGAGCAGCAAGTGTTTGTAACTGCTGAGCCATCCCCACACCCCTTTTGTGTTCTTAAATATGCAACCTCAGATGATTTTGAAGTCACTCAGCAACCCTTTGAGTTGGCCTTAGACTCGCGACTCTCCTACCTGTCTCCTGGTTTGCGGCACCACAGCTAGCTTACTAGATATTTCAGTAGACAACTAGAAGAGTTTGGCGTGAACGAAAGAGGTTCTCGCAGGTTAAGGCTAGCAAGGAGCGAGCATCGAGGAAATGGACTGGTTAAAGGCCACATGGATTTGATTCTCCGTGAGTCTTCGGGGACCCAAACAAGACCACCATAGGCTAAACCCATTACCCACCTCCATGCCTCAGTTTCCCAATTAGTAAAGCAAGAACTGGTGCTTTTCTGGGGTTAACGCCTTTCACCCTGCCAGGTGGAGCTCCATGGGAGGGGCGTGTCCATATGTTGATGATGTAACCCTGGGTGGGGCCTATGGGACTCACTGCGGAAGCCTTGGAGGGTGTCTGGGCTCGACTTAGCCCGGGTGTGTGTGGGGGAGGGGTCCTCAAGAGAGGGTCTCTGGGCCTCTGAACCTACGGGGTTGCTGGGACTATCCTACTGTCTTCCGTGGGTAAAACTAAGCAGTAGCTGAGCACCAGTGGGGAGCAGATTAGGGGTCCCATCCCTACTCCTGCGCACCTAGTCGATCCCCACCTTCACCCCCGCCCCCACCCCAGCCGCGACCCGGCGGCGGTGAGTCAGCGGCCCCGCCGCGCCCCCTCATTCACTTCCTCCACACCTTCCCCGGGAGGGTGGGGGGCGGCGAGGGGTGGGGCCCGGCCTGAGAAGCGAGATCTGGGGAAACACGGGACTTGCCAAAGTGTTACTTAAAGGTGGAAATTGAAGAGATCCCTTACTTAACTAGGGAGCCTCCCCGCCCCCACCCTAAACTGAGCAGAAGTCCACGGAGCGAGCAAGACGCGAAAACCTGCACTCCCAGATCTATACCTAAGAATTCTATAGTGGAGACAGCTAGAGATCAAAGAAAGGCCCCTTCTCTTCCATCACGCTTTCCATTCCAACTCGGGGGTGAGGCTCAGGGTGCACCCCCACGCCACCAGGCTGGGGAAGGAGTGCAATTGCGGAAGCCGAAGGTTCCGCGTTGCCTTTTAAACGCTCTCCATCCCCCGCCTGGAGGTGTCCACGGCCCCTTTAAGGCGCGGGGCATTGTGGGTGCGGGGAGTGGAATTTTGGAACGAAATGTAGCAAAGAGAGTACAGTAGTAAGAGTAACCGCGTAGGTGCTGTCGGCCGAGGGGGTGCGCCGGAGAGGTCCGGACTCTCCACCCCGCTTTCCAACGCTGGGGATCTCAGTCCAGCAGAGCACCAGAGGGAGGAGGCGCCCGAGGACCCGCCCCGGCCCGGTCCACGTTCTCCCCAGGAAGCTGGACTCTATGGGGCGGGACCCCGAGAGAGACTGAGCAGAACCTGGAGCCAGCCCCGCACCCCTGCACTTCTAATCAGGGGCGCCCCGGGAGCACTCCCCGTGGGCGCGCCGCCCGCCCTCCGCGGAGCCATGAGGTGAGCCCCGAACCCCCCAGCCCGGTTCCATGCCAGCTCGGCGCCCCGCCTTTGTCCCCCTCACCCCAGCTCGCCCAGGGCTGGATTTAGGGGACACCGGGCTTTGGGTGTCCCAACTCTGAGCCGATGCCTCCTGGAGCGATCTGTAAATATCGACACCCACTTTCTCCGCACTACTCCCCAAAGGCTTGAGGCGGCGCCGGCTGAGGTTCTCCTGGTGGCTTTCAGGTTTAGGGGCGCTCTCGGGACTCAGAATTTGAAGACTTTTTAGGGAGCACCTCCGAGTTGGCGGATAGGTAGAACCATCCGGTTTAAGCGGGACTCAGAGTTACCGCCCCAAACTCAAGTCCAGGTCTTGGGGAGGTTGTGGGAGGCTGGCTTGAGAACCCGAGCCCTGAAACTCTGAACCTCGGGTAGTGGTCTTCGGACCCCTGCGTCTGGAGCGCTGGATGAACGTCCTGGAACGGGACAGCGGTCCTTAACTTCGGGGTTACTTCTTCATGCCTCTAAATTTGGGGATACGGAGATTCTCCTGTGGAGGGGGTTTGCGAATCTGACCCA